CATGTACATTAAATAACAAAACCAAAATGTATTTTTAAAGATTAGCTCATTCACATGAATAGTTAATAATGGTAATGAGAACTCACGTTTAGTGGCAACAACTGCGGTCTGCGAGCTTCTGCTGAGATCTGGGATTGGTCTCTTCTAGAACAGGAAATTATCTCAATTACTAAGTGATTCCCATGAGGTATGAGCCAACAATTAATATGATGTAGCAGAAAATACACACACACGGATACTTACAGGTTCGCTGCACATGGATGGCGTAGAGCTGGAGGCCTGCAGGAGTTCAGCACGCACATTGAACCAGTCGAAAAACAATATTCAGAAAGATTAACAAAACGATTGCAAAAGAACTAAATCTGATTCAAGAACAATGAAAAACAGAGAGAGGTGTGACCAATTTTAAGGATTAGTGTGTGTCCAGACAAAAGTCTATTTCTAGTGAGAAAGAATAAAACCCTCATCATCCTGTGCTCAGAGATATTTGCCCTCAATACATTCTGAGCAACAATATATTTTTGGACAAGTAAAACCAACTTTTCTTTTTCTATTTGGGCTTAGTGAGAATGTAACAATGGGCAGAATTACCATTACTAGTAAGCGAGAGTGAGTTTTGGAGCTCATTACATTTTCATAACATCCTGTTGGTTAAATGTCATAATAAAGTTTTGTTACAGTGACAGAGAGTAAAAGATCCAGTAAGAGGAGAGGTACTCATATACCCACCAGTAGGGATGCACCGATACCGATACTAGTACTCGCCCAAATGCTCCCAAAGCTTATCCCAATACCAGAACTTCCGGTATCAGGAACCCAGGTGGCGAGTCGTTACATGCTGCCCGACTTCCTTGATGGGACTTCTGGTATCGGCGAGTACCGAAAAAATAAAAAATAGCAGTACTCTATACCAAAAAAACGATATTGGTGCATCCCTACCTACCAGTCCTGCTGCCCCAACTCCAATCTTAGCATTCTTGCAGAGGTACGCTGACCAAAAAACACTACCGCATCCGTCACACCCTGAAGTGTGTTAAATGCTTCAACTTCTACCAATAGGCCAATGTATATTTACATTGCTACAGGCCTCTGAAGCTCTGTGGCCCCTGGGTCGTAAAATGTAAGCTCTTACAATCGCTAATGAAGTGACATTTCCACATGGGAGCACCGTCTCCAGCATGCAATGAGGGAAATCCTGCTGGCGGGGATAACAATATCACTCCTTCATTTGAGCAGTGTTGTCAGTGCCAGGCACATATAGTAAGCATGCACAGTGAAGGAAAGCCTACTAGCAGGGATAATGACATCTTCCCTCTTCCCAGCAGTGTTGTCAGAAGCAGACATGCGCAGGGAGGGGGAAGCTGCCAGGCACCGACATTTTAGGGATCAGTCAATTCAATAACGGCTGAATAGTGTTGTCAGACTGGCACTGTAAACCAGGATAGAATCAGGAAAAATAAAAAGGATCAACAAGTCATTTTCTTAATAACTAAAAGCCAAGAAAAATAGCTTAATAAGATTGTTCTTATGGTCACCTTACATAGGACTTGTTTTGGTCTGGAATTACACTTTAAAATGATTCAGCTGGTGCTTTTACAAGAGATCAAAGACAGGGGTGGTGGGACACGCGAGAATAAACTATTTTACAGGGTAAAAAAATTTACGCAAGCCACCCCCCCCCCAAATGCTACAGTTCTGTTTCATTTCAATGTCAGAATGGCTTTGGAGTACTCACCTTGAAGACCTGGTCGAGGGTTAGGCAGCGATTGGCCTGGGGGTGGATGGTCCAGTAAGAGATTTTATTGTTGGAAGGGCTCTCGCGCACAAACATGTCATGTAAGGAGAGGTTGTGGCGGATGGAATTCTGTGGGAACACAAATAATATATTCATTTCAAACAAGTAGAAATGAAGGGCACCTGGCAAGATACTGAAGGTGCCTCCAGTTAAGTCCCATAAAGTTAGATGAAAAACACTAAATTGTTCACAGCTACCAAAAACTAAATGATCAGCTGTGTGGGGTGTCATTCTAGAGAGGACAGCTCTCTAAAGTCTACTCAAGTTATTTGCCAGAAAATGGCTTTTCTTGGCGTGACCTCTACAAAACAAATGGGTGAGATTCCCCTTGGCTAAAGTCTGGCCTCCTTGGAATCGTCTGTTCGCCATCAGCCTTAACTGGCTTCATACTAGTCCTGGTTGAGCATCACGGCCAGGCAGTATATTTAAGAGGTCAGGATATGCCACCTATTAATGTTTTTTCTTAAATTAGGAGTTAAATAGATTAGCTAGTATGTTTAGAACAGATAGGACGCAGCTTTACCATAACTGATTGAAGACTGATGTAGGGCAGACAGTTGTCCTGAAATGGAGACTATACATCAAATCCTCAACCGTTTCTACATAAGGGCAGGTCCAAAAACATAAAATTTTTGGCAAGTATGAATCTGTTTGCAGCAAAAAAAAACAACAGCTGGGGCTGTACAATTTGTCTACGTTTTTGGTTCATTATTGGTTCCCCATATGCATCACCTTCCAGCCAGGCTTGGCCACATATTTGAAATAAGGGAAGTGATCCTCGATCCAGGTGTAGATGTCTTTCAGTGTCATGCGCTTGCTCGGCGTGCTGTTAATGGCAAACTGGATGAGCGCCATGTAGGAGTACGGAGGACGCTCAGAGATGGAGTCGTGCCATGGCTGTGTGGTAGCCGGCTCTGCGATTTCCTCTTCCATCTGATGGGAGGAGAAGCAGAAAAATAAATTCTTGACACATTTGAGAATGACAGAACAAAGGAAAGGGTCTTTAGTTCAATCTGACTTTATTAAAGGTTATAATTACAGTACAGTGCAGTATAATACGATGACTAGACAAGTTCACCAAAACATAGAATCACAAAGTAAAAATAGGCAATGGAATGGGTAATGTCAACAATACGTGGATGGCATAGTAATATCAAAATGCCAGGATGGAGTGCAGAGTAGACAGCTTAACGTAGGGCTATGAACATTAGTATGGGTGCATAACCAAAGTATTGTCTGCGCCTTCCTACCCCAGTCCCTCCCATCGTGAGTCCCAACGGCAAGGTATGAAGTAGACTGGGGGGAGGACATATGGTATTTTAGGCCATGGTGTTCAACAGAGATGACTGGCATCACTAATACCACAAGTACTAAGGAGATGGACAAGGGGGGAAGGGTACATGGAGAGAGAAGGAAAGAAGAGAGAAAAAGACTAGATGGAGTAAAGGAGAGGTCAGATAGGGATACAGCGGTTACCCATCCCCTGCCCAGCAGCTCAGTGCTGTCTGCAGGCGAGCAGGTTAAAAGGAAAACTATGAGATGAGTGATTTCCACTCACCTCATAGTTCTAGCCGACCTGTGACAATGAGACGGTCACAGGTCGGCTCAGTAGATCGGGAGGTGAGCGAACACATACCAGGTTCGCTCACCTCTCGATCCTGTCACGGCTCTCTGCCGTGACAGGGGGAGGGGCCGGATTCCCCTCTCCCCGCGCTGACCGGCGGAACGGACGGGGGAGGGTACAGTTGGCTCTGTCTCTAGATAGGCAGAGCCAGCTGTCACTCACGCAGCTGGGCGGATCCCGTCATCTACGTCGGGATCCGCTCCGGCGTCTCAGTATACCGCGAGCTGTAGCTCGCGGTATACTGAGCTTAGGGTAACGGGAGGACGCTAGTTTGTGTCCTCCCGTTACCCTAAGGAGAACTATGGGGAAAAACACTGACCCCATAGCTCTCCTTTAAGGAGAGAGGGCTGCCAAGAAACCGTCTGAGTTAGGGAAATCCAACCAGGCGTGGACATATTTATCCCCTGCAGCACATTCTCCCGTGAAGAGGCCCTCCAGGTCAGCGATACGGTCCATCTCGACTACTACTCCGCAAGGGTGGGAGCCGTCATCGTACGCCAGTGGCGTGGTATAACGGTCCCCCAGCTCCATTTGGTGGAGCTGGGGGCAGCTCCACCAAATGCGAGTCATATGGCCTGGGGAGCCGCCACAGAGGCCAACAGGAGTCTGACACTGAAGGGTAGTATTGGTGAAGGACTACGGGGCATCTGTACCATCTGGTGAGTATTTTAGGAAAAGGTCTTTAATAATTGTTTTCCCTAAAGTTACCAGAGAGAAGACGATCATTTTTCTACTGCAAGTTAGAAAACAGAAACTTCTGATAGAGATAGCACAAAGATTTCCTCTAATCTCACCAAACCAAGTTTTTTTGTTGTTGTTTTAAATGTTGCCAAACTCAAAAAGCACCTCCCCCTATTGGATATTCACCTTGAGACAATCTGCCATGGGGGTGAGGTTTTCCTTCTCCTCGGGTTCTGGTGTCATACTGCATGATCCCAGTCCATCGGAGGTCATCTTACCCAACCACTGTATGTTTGTCAGACTGATGTTCAGTTCCTCAGAGTCAACCTGCAGCACTAAAAAATTTAAAGTTAACATCATGAAAAAAGACCTGTCGAATAAAGTACACACACACCCCTTTATTTTACAGTTTGTCCTCATCACCTGGTGATACTGCCAATAATACATTGGCATACAGACCTGTCCTAGGGTGGAGATTATTACTCTATCTAGTAGAAGCATCATTATAGCCCTAGAACAAGACTACAGAACACATCCACAGCTTCTTTATCGCATGGAGAGGGGGTTGTTCTGTAGTCCACAGTAGTGAACTTGGCAGGGGGCTGAACACTTGGCTTGGGATTTCAGTGCAGCAGAGGCTCCAGAAGTCAGCTGACATTTATTTTTTTCGGGGCAGAATCAACAGGATTTTTTTGCATAGGTAGAACAACACTCAATTATATTTAAGAGACCAAAATGGAGCAAATAAGAGAAGATGTCGTTGGGGTTTAGATACGCTTCAAAACGCAGGTTTGCTTTACCCATGGCAAATGCATACCCATTACCTGCCCTCGTCCAATGTGATACCACAGCAAGCAAAGGAACTGCGCGGAGATGAGTGCAGAGTCAATAAACTAAAATGATGAAAACTCCCTCCTATCCACAGACTTGGATTAGACCAATTTATCCCATCCAGAAAAACCGACAGCTTTGGTTGAGCAGTCACTTCCTAACGCATGCTGACCAGGATCCTGCAATCCTGGACAAAACTAACTGGCACTGCGCAAAACATATATACAGTAGTACCTCGGTTCACAAACTTAATTTGTTCCACGATTCTGGTGGCGAACCGAATCAAACCGCGATCTGGACTAGAGGAAGCCACGACCATGTGTCAGAGCGGGGAAGATGGCTGCGGTGGTGTTCATCACTCGATGCGGAGTTTGCGAACGGAAGCAAAAATTTCCCGAACTTCCTATTCGCGAACTGAAGCGTTCGTGAACCGAGGTACCACTGTGTATGTATAATTAAAAAGTGGTTTTGCTTAGGATTTGGAAGAAATGGTTTTAGTGTCCCTTTGCCCGACAGAGCGCTGAAGGGAAGCAGCTTTGGAGGACCGATCACATGCTAATTTAAGGGCAGAAACAAACATTTAACCCTTGCAACGCAGGGGGAGTCCCACTGCAAGAGATTTTTGTTTTTCTAATATCCCGGAGTTCAGCTTTCACCTCTACAAATAGCCAAATCTTTGATCAGCTTTAGAGTAGGGAACGATTATTACCACTGACAATTTTTTTTTTTTCTGTCTTTGTCCCATTGGGGAGACTACAATTTACTTTCTGTCCCGTAGACACAAGGAATCTTTACAAAGCAAAGACAATTCCTCTTAGTTCTCACCCGAACAGGTGCCCCCCCATTGGAAGATTTCCCCACACCTCCTATTCTGGTAACTATAGAAACACTCCAGTGTATATATCTATAGCCAAGGCTTTTGAATGGAGTGGGGGAGGGCTAGAACCCATCAGATGTTTTAGTGCCGTCCGTGTCTCATTGAGGAGATTCACCCCCTCGACTTTTGTCACTTGGACAGCGAGTGAGGGGAAATCTTCACTATTCCCCCTCTTGTGCTTTTGGGACATGAAGGGGAATCTCTGCAATAGGAAAGACAGAAAGCTTGAAGTACCGTATTTTGCGGTCCTTAAGACGCACCGGACCATAGGACGCAGGGAGGTCTGGCGCGCCTTATGGAGCACTCGACAGACTGTAGCTTCTGTCACAGCTTCTATGACAAGCTGTGACAGAAGCTGCAGTAAGTGACCGCTGAGACAGGTGGCACTGCGATTACAGCGCCACGGTCTCAGTGATCACACAGAGCAGACGAAGAGAAAGTCCGTTCTTTGTCTGCTCTATGGTGATCTCCATCATCGCCGCTGCTCGGTTTTAAGACGAGTGATCTCATTAGATCACTCGTATTAAACGAGCAGTGGCTCCTACTACTCGCCCGGCGCCCGAAACTGCATGTCTCGGGCGTCGGGATTCGCTCCATAAGACGCAGGCACATTTTCCCCCTCCTTTTGGGGGGGAAAAAAAGTGCGTCTTATGGAGCGAAAAATACGGTATACTTTACAAACCATAAATATATCTCGCATACCTTTCTTTCCTTCCTCTGCATCTGTCTGGGCTGAGGCAGGAGCCTCGATCTGTAAAGTGGCCGACTCGTCCCCCTTAGTTTGGAAGCCCAATTTCTCAGCCTGTGTGTGGAACGAAGGACTTCCGCTGATCAGGATGAATTTGTTAGGTCCTCCCATCTCTCGGCCTCGAGCGGTCAGCGCCTGAATAATGCTCTCCATGTCAAAATTGGGGGGTAGGACTACAAGCTGAGTGTCTGGTATGGTGGGATGACCCATGACCTTTATCTCAGAGGTTACAGACTTTGTGCTGATACAAGGTGACTGAGGAGTACAGGATGCTGGGGCACCCAGGGTGGAGTCCGGATTTAAGGTGGTTTCAGAGACTTGGTTCTGTTCTGGGGTAGACGATCCCAAAACTTCATTTTGCAGACTTGGTTCCGGTCTGACGTTTACCCCGGTCTTCTGAACAAGGTTCTGTGCAGGGTTTATATCTGCTCTGGAAACCGAGTTCTGTCCACGTTGCTCTCCTGCTCCGGTCAAGGGGGCCGGTCTCTGTTCCGAAGTCCCCAAACCGCCGGCGCCATCTTTTGGTGGTAGGGATAGCTTGCGCCTCTTCAGAATCAGTGGCCTACGGGGGCTCGATCTCATGGTGCGTCGTCAAAGGTGGGGGCCATTGGTAAAACAGGTTCTGAAAAGAATGAGACAGCAGCTTTATTACTTGGTTTCCTCGATTTAAAGATTGCCAGCATAATTACAGAATTTGCACCACTCCCTGCACCACAAGAGCTTACACTCTAATCCCAACACCATCAGAGGACACACTGACCGAAGTCAAAGGCTTTTTAATCTAACCAGCATTTTTGTGTTTGAAAGGAAAACTAAGCACCTAAAGAAACTAACCAAAAAATACCTGGTGGAAATACAAACTCCATGCAGATCTTGGTCAGGAATGTATCTTATTCTGTGCTGCATAGAAAAAGAAGCGAACGTTTCGGGGCTGCGCAGGGTCCCATCATCAGGGTGACATCGTGACCCAATCGCTGTATGGTGTGCAGGTGATTCTCTAATGCTATTTAGATAAATACCTGGACACATTACTAAGCATGCTGCACTGATGAAAAAAAACCCATCTGATGCTTGATCCACTTTAAGCATTACAGAGTAGAAATGTTTAGCATGCTGACAGCGCACAGTATCACTGCGATACCCGACACACAAATACACTTGTGGTAAAATTGTTACTTTGTGAGGTTTGTATAAAAGATGACAACAAAAACAGCAACGCGGCCACCAGAACAGGAAAGACGATGAGCATGACCGGCAAAGCGTGAGGACAGCTGTGTGATCAACGGAGCAGACACATAGCAAGCGTTCTAAAACGAGTCGCCCTCAGCTCCATCGCCAACACTGACCAATAGCAGCCTCAGAATCCATCTAGGAGGCCTCACACTCATGTAGCAAATGACCGCTCGCCAAAGCCCATGATTTTGCCCCATGAAACACACACACACACCATTTCAGCTTGGGGTGCACACACAAAGATCGATGCGATGCGGGCACTCACTGGATTTGGCACAAGGAGAATCGATGAGGAAAACAAAAATGTTAATTGGCAGCCATTGTTTTGGGGGGATGCAGTCTTGACAAGGCCGGCTGCATCCTACCAAAATGTCAGCTGTCAATTTGAAATCTATATTCCATTCTCATGTGCTGCCATCTCCGGGGTCCTCAGAAACAAACATTCTATACATACATCTAATGTCCTTCTAAGGAAGTAAAACATAATTCAGCTCTCAAGATCTCAGAGCTTCATCTAAACACATAACCAACATTTATTAATGCCTTCAGTAACCAGGTACCCCCATGTCAGCCACTTTAAAGAGAACCTGTCACTTCTCCCTTTCTTTGATAATGAGGACCCTCATCCTGGTGTGTTAGCTTTGTGTGGAGGAGTCTATTGTGTACAAGTCCCGGCAGGTCCCATTACATGTATATGAGATGAGAGCTGCATCAATGGAGGAGCACAGGCAGCAGAGTGTGTGTGTGTGTGTGTGTGTGTGTGTGTGTGTGTGTGTATGTAT